GCATCAAAGGTTCGATATGGAATTGAAAGTGTAATGAAATTTGAAATGATTAGAATTGAACGATACAAATCCAAAATAATTACTGAATTTCAGAAAGAATAGAAATATGGGTTCCTTAAGAGGTGAAAATAATCCAGTCAGCTCTAATAATTTGATCGTGGAAGCTTCGAAGACCGACAGTTAAATAATTGATTAAATCATTTCAAATAAGCTTGAGTGAACAAAAGAAAGCATAAAAGTAGAAACAAACCAGCAATATTGGTTTTGGCTGCCACATTGACTCGATAACGCGAATGAGGTGACAGCCCTTGGAGCGTGTACATCGGCTTATCGCAAAACACTGTTATTGGTCTTTCAGGTCTCTGATCACACATGCCCCTGAATAGTTCCCACTTTTACTGCAGCAGAAACTTTTGGAAACAGTAATTTAAAGGTCACGGAAATATGAAATGAGAGCATTTTGAACTTCAGTTCAATCAAAAATAAACTATTCGATTGTACAAAAAACAATTATCGCAAATGAAAGAAAAATTACTTGGACAGCAGCTGATAGGTGATTTCATATCCAGTAATAACTCCGTTTGGATTCTGAGGTTGTCTCCAAGAGAGTTGCAGCGAATCCGGCGACATTGGATAGATGCGAAAGTCGGATACGGGTCCAGGTGCTTAAAGATTTTCAGTGTTTATACAGAAGGTGTTCTTTTGAACAACATTTGTGTTATGAGGTAAGAATATAGAGTGTAATGAACCTGTCCCTTGAGTTTGAGTGACAACAGGTCTTGTCCACTGGGATTCACCGTTGGGATTCGCTGCTTGAACCTCGAAGCTCCATTGTGTGAATGGTTCAGAATCGAATATAACTTCATCTTCACCATTTGTTAAATTACGAAATCCTTCAGTTCTTGGAGTGGTATACTTCACAATATACCATACACGATCACAGTTCCATTCACTCTCATGCAATGCCTTAATTACATTTCATCAATGTTGGTATTTTTTCACATTTTATCTTGTCCTTCTATCACTTTCGATTGGTTTTTGGGGAAATCACTATCGTGAGAATATCACATCGTAAAGTACAATACTGACAAAAAGTTGAGAT